CCTAAATGTTACACACTGGATCATTAGGTTTGAAGTTTTTGGCCATCTTGGTAAAATCTTCAGTAACAAATATGTCTTAAAGGCAGTCTTTGCTATTTGTGTCAAAGGTAAATCCCCACTTGGAAAGAGTAAGTGTTAAAAAAGACAAATCACATGCTTAAAACAAATTAAATAGTAATGTGCAGAACTTTGATAATGTTTTTATCTAAACACAAATGTCTTAGAAATTGAGATGGGCACATATACAAAAAAAATCAGTAAGGATGCCAATCCATGTGACTGCCTCCAGCCTTCTGCTGTACATACCTCAACAACAGCCTGCTTTTTGCTGTCCACATTCAGGACGGTGCTTATATTCTTGCTGTCAACTTGAGAAAAATTTGATTTGATTCTGATAGGTGATAGTGTGTCTTTCACACATTTCTGCAAGAAAAAAAGAACAGTCATCTGCATATCTGTTGAAAGTTTGGTCTCAACATTAAGCTAAAGAACTGAACACTAAATAAATCTATTTAGATTATGATTACTATTACTGCTTTTTAGTCAGGGTTATAGTTTTTATGAGTTAAGTTTATGATGGTGTTGCTACATGGGCATGTGTGTTGATGATAATTTGAGCTTTATAAAAGACCCAAGAAGTATCAGCTGCAGTAAAAAGTACAGTAGATGTCCATACTTCTATATAACAACTTTTAATGGAAGTTATCAACACTTTTTAATTTCTTAAATAAATGTGGACACAGTTGAACCCAATTAATGTTGCCATTAAAGAGCCTTTAAAGTCCAGATGAAATGAAAAATGCCTTTTTAACCCTTTAAGATGACACATATTGTACACTTCTTCTGTTTCTCTGAATTGTTATAGCAAAATCCCATAATTTTGTTGTGTGCTTTCAAAAGGATTAACCGACCAATTTCAACCAATAATATCATGACATCCACCTACTAATCAATCTTCAACTTTTTGTGATACAGAGCTAATATTCATTATTAGCTAATTAGCAACAGCGTGGCTTTCTCCTGGAGTGTTTCTCAGGGCCAGGCTTCACTATGAAAATATGTTCAGATTTTCCAGCAAAATCCAAACCCAGCAAAAAAACAAACAAACACTGGTAGTGTATTCCCTGTCATCAAACTGGCCTCTGTTGGTATCGGATGCTATATTTGGTCCCGGTCTGGCCATGCTGTTCACTGAAAGGTCCCAGTCACGCAGACTAATAGGTATGCTATAGCTGTGTGATGGTGGGACATAATACACATTCAGCAGTACTGGCTAGTCACTCCCTATCTGTCTATTTTTACAGAGAACACACAAAAATGCAGAAGCAAATGGCACTCTGCTTTCTGTTTCATGTGGACTTCAAGTCACATGCCCAAAGCACACATTTTGGGCTATAACATACAACTGTTAGTCATTGTAACCAACAAAGGTTAATCAATATACTCTGCATGCTTTATATATATGTATATATGGATGATGTTTATAGATTTACAGTTGGTGATAGCAAAGAAACTAATATACAGATAGTATAAGTATATAAGTATGTGAATGTGGCTGTGAATGTGAACATGGTGAATGTTTTTTAATTGATCTCCATACTGGCATGTAGATGGAGTAGGAGAAGCAGGTGTCTTTATCTCTTAGCGTGTAGGTTGAGGTAAGATTCCTAGCTTTCTCATCAGTCTGACTGAAGAAACCTCGATGTGTTTGTCTCATCGGATCCACGTCAAGCACATATCGGATGGTTAGTCCGGAGCTCATTGCCCCTGGAAAGGCACACAGCAGTATTAAAATAATACATTGATAGGGTGTGCAGTAATCAGTAGCTGTTATTGAACCACATTATAGGATCAGGTCCCTACCTGCTTTGCTCTTTGTTATTTCTACCATTTCAAAGCATGCTGTTAAGGTAACCATTGGTAGATTGTCATCTGTGCTGCCCAGACAATCAATTTCCTCAGTGCTTATCTCCTCAGGTTGAAAAGAAAGATGAGCCATGACATTAACAACAGGTCTGGACCTGAAAGACATTGATTAATCAATATGATTAAAAATGGATTATTACTTTGCACATGATCTTTTCTGTAGGACGATGTTACTAATGCATGTAATATGGGTTTATTCAACTCAACTATATTTATAAAGTGCCTTTCATACAAACACGCAGCCCAAAGTGCAGACACCAGTCCACAATTTCACTTCCTCCTTCTTCCACTTTGTCACTGGTGATTTCTTCTCAAACTATAGAAATTAGTGTTATGCCTTTGTTAATTATACAATTTTGATGAGTTGATTAGAATCTTGTAGATTCTCAGGCAATGTGTTTCACTCTTTTGTTGGAAAACTCTGCACTGGGATGTATTCAGCCTTTCAGTGGCTAGGGGTTAATAATACTTAATGTAGGTATCTGTACCTTAAGACAACAGCTGTGCCCTGTGATCCGATCACAATATTTGGGAGTCCGTCCTCTCCGAGGTCGAGGTCCTCATCAATGGCCTGTCCAAAGAATCTGAGCCCAGGCTTTATTTTCTGTCCCAGAATTCTCTGGAATAACAAGTAACAACTGAAGCAGTGTATCATTTCTCAGGGTGAGACAGATAAAGGTTTTAGAAGATAGTTACCAAAATAATTGAAAAATACCAGATGATAATCATATCATCTATCAATTCAGTTCATTCTGAGGCTGACTTTGTAGTCTTATTCAAAGGTCAGTCAGACTGACCAGATTCATGGCCATGAACACAGGGTGACTTGATGCACTACTGATTGATGTGGAAATTAATTTTTCCATCTAATCCCAGCATTGTGATCACTCACCCAATCAGTTGCTGTTTTCTTCATCTAGGGAGCTAAATAACTTTTTCAAAACAAAAACAAAACAAACTGTGTCAGGTTTTCTCTGTCTCACCTGGCTGAAAGTGCTGCGTATCCCTCTCTGTCTGTCACCAAGGTAGATGTACACAGCCCCC